TTTTTTTTTTTTTTTCCCCCCCCGGGGGGGGGGGAAGGGGGGGGAAAAATAAAAGGCCCCCCCCCCCCCTATTTTTTTTTTTGGGGGGGGGGGTATGGCTTGGTTTGGACGCGGGAGGGAAAAACAGGAAAACACAACACGGGACTTGTTGGGCAGCAATTGTCACGAAGACAAACAACGAGCAGTGTGGAGGAAGAGGTGTGCGGTGCGTGAAACCACAGTGAGATGGATGGCGACACGACAGCTCCACACACACAGGGAGAGAGATTGTAGCTCAAGGGGGGAAACACAACACATGAAGGTGGGTGGCGATGGAGGTCAGAGACAAGAACAAACAAAGAAGACAGGGGGATGACCAGCAGCCCGGTTAGACACAACGACAGCAGAGTCACAGCAGGTGGCAACAGCGAGACGGACGCAAAAAGGTGGGATGAAGACAGTGCATGATGGAGGGTTGCTGCAATGCTGAAGCGTGCATCAGCCACATCACCACATCACCATCATCACCGTGTGCGTGCGCCCACATGCGCCGTTGCCAGGTGGTCGTGTTGGTCGTCATCGTCGCTGCACACGCGTTGGTGGAAACACGGCTGCATAGTCATCACGACGACTCCTCTGCGTCTTCGTGTTCCGACGGCTGCTGTTCATTGGGTTGCTGGTCCTTGGGCTGCTGTTGGTCGGGCTGCTGGTCTTCGGGTTGCTGTTGGTTGGGCTGTTCCGAGGGTTGCTCGGGTGACTGCTCAGAGGACTCCGCCCGCTTGGCACCTGTGCGTGCGCGTGCGCGCGCGTGTGTGTGTGTGGAGGGACGGAGTGAGGGGAGGCATATGAAGGATGGGAGATGAAGCAGGAGCGTATGTACATGCGTTGTTGAAAATGTATATGATGGTTGTGTGTGGATGTGTGCGTCATGGCCGTGTATGCTGGCATGGACATGTCAAAGTTACAAATGCAAATAAACACCCAAGGCAGTCACGATGGATGCACCACCGCCGGACACACACACACACACCCACCCACACACACACACCCACCCACACACACACACACACACACACACACACACACACACACACACACACACACACACACCGGCCAACACCACGGACGCACCAAACTGTTTTTGCGCCTCCTCGAGCGAGAGGGCGTTTGCAATGACGCTGGACGTCGATTCCTCTGCTGATGTGTCTGTTGATGTTGGCGCGGACGGCGTTGCCTGCGCATCGCCCTTGGATGACATCTGTTCCTTCACCTGGCCCATCTGTGGCGGCGGCGGCGGTGGCGGTGTGGTGTGGTGTGTGGAGGGAGGGGTGTTGATGTTGGGTGCACAGGACAAGCGAGGGCGTGTCAGATGGTTGGTGAGTAAAGGTTCATGCATGCATGCATATGTGTGTGTGTGTGTGTGTGTGTGTGTGTGTGTGTGTGTGTGTGTGTGTGTGTGTGTGTGTGTGTGATATTGTCCATGCACACGAGCGCAAGCACAACAACAATAACACCACCACCACCAAGACGAAGAAGAAGTAGAAGAACAACAACAACTCCTTGGCAGCAGCAGACGGGACGGACCTGTGGCGAGTCGCCCGAGCCAATGTGGCCCGCGTGCACAAAGTTGGTGGGCGCACCAATCATGGACCGGTCAATCCTTCGCCGCTGGGGCTGTGGCCGCGTCAAGCAGAGGGAGTGACGTGCGTGGCGTGAAGGTGGCGGGCGTTTGGGGGGGGGGTGTGCCGTGGATGGTGTGGAATGTGTTTAGTGAGGGACAACGGCAATATTGGGAGCAAGCAGCGAGAGGAGAGCGCAAACGGAAAGGGTGGTAACGTTCGCGTCGTTGCAGGGAATGTGCACTGACCTGCGGCTCCTCGGACATGCATCCCCAAGGAAATGAGAACCCCATAACAGCTGTGGCGCAGGTGAGAGAAAGCGTGAGGGAAGGGGGGGGGGAGCAAGTCAGTGGGTGAGAGGAGGCGAGCAAGGGAAAGCGGGTGAGAAGCAAAAGTACACGTGCAGCAACAAGAAGGGACAAGAAGAAGACGATGAAGAAGAAGAAGAAGGAGAAGAAGAAGGGACGAGAAGAAGACGATGATGAAGAAGAAGGAGAAGACGATGAAGAAGAAGAAGACGATGAAGAAGAAGAAGAAGAAGAAGAAGAAGGGACGAGAAGAAGACGATGAAGAAGAAGAAGGAGAAGACGATGAAGAAGAAGAAGAAGAAGAAGAAGAAGAAGAAGAAGGAGGAGAAGAAGAAGAAGACGATGAAGAAGAAGAAGACGAACAACAACGACAACGACAACGACGACAGACGGCGACGACGACGACAACAACAACAACAACAACAACAACAACAACAACAACAACAACAACAACAACAACAACAACAACAACAACAACAACAACAACTTATTGAACAACAAGGAACAACAACAAGGAACAACAACTTCAACAACAACAACAACTCAAACAACACCCCCTTCGTTCCCTCCTTGTCACGTACCCGACATCTGCTGGGCTGGGTGGAAAGATCACCACACAGTCAATCAAGGGAGAAGTGTGTGCGTGTGTGTGTTGGCGTTTGCCGGAGACGGAGGCAAGCAGTCAATGCCAATAGGGGTGATGCGCTGGAGGTTGAGATAAGTTGGTCCAATCCAAGCTTCAAAGCGATAACAAGGGAATCTGAAATGATTCTAAGAGCGTGTGGTTGTAGGTTGTTGGTTGTTGGTTGTGGGCAAGTGTGGTTGTTCGTTGGGCAAGGAGGGCAAACAAGCCAAGCAATCAAAACAGCGCAAGACGTCTGTGAGAGAACGGTCGATGATCAGAAATGCCACAACAAGCTCATGGTTGCTGCTGGTTTCCACATCACCGCAATATCCTTCACCGACCCCCCCCCCCCCTCTGCTTTGCCGCCGCCGCTGCTGCTGCATTCGTTCCGGGCCTATCCGTCACCGCCCGTGTCACCATCACCGCGCTCCCACCATCATCAACCACGCCCCAGCAAAGATAGAAGAAGCACAAAAGCGGCGCTTGGCTGTCGAGGAACACCACAGCCAAAATCAAACGCAACGCAACAATGGTGTCGACGAGGAAGGCCACATGCACGCACAAGCACGTACGCACGTCAACACACAAGCAACGAACACCACCACGAGCGCCCCATTTTTGTGGTGACTTCCGTTGTCCTTCATCCAATCAATCAATCAATCAAGCAAGCAAGCACACCGTCGTGTTCTTTTCACGTCACCACGCACCGCCTCCGCATATAGCTGATGATGCACACATACACATACGCGCGCATGCACGCGCACGAACACACCCGCACGCACACCACTTGGGTGTCCAACAAGAGCACGCACCATCCATCCATATCCATTCGCCTTTCCTTCTCTCGCATTTCTCCCATTCATCGTCAGCCTCGCCCTCTCTCCTCTCCTTGCCTGCTGTTTCGGCCACGACAGGCAGCAAGCAAGCAAGCAACAACAACTCACCAGCCAGCGGTGCAGCAAAAAAAAAATGTCAGCCAGCCTCGTTCGGCTATTCTTGGAAATCTTACACGAACCGCGACACAACCGCACTTTGTGCTGTTTAGGAGAAGTTTGTGTGGTATTTCGTGGTATATGTGAGTTTGCCAACCTCAGCCATGGATGGTGGTGGGTCATTCCTGCACATCAACGTGAGCAAGGACCACCATTGCCACTGCACCTCGGCACTTCCTTGTGAGGCGTTTTGCTGTGTGTTTTGATGTGAAAGTTGTGTTTTGTTGGGCGCGTACGTGTTGTGCGGGCTTGTGTTGGGAAAGGGGTGCGATCTCCTCTCCTCCTCTCGCTGTCCGATGGACATGCGCATTTGCGTCTTTTCTTTTTCCAAAACAAGGCTGATTGGAGATCCACTGTGCTACTGTGAGTTGCACCAAAGCACCACCCACCAAGCAGACGACGCCAACCAACCAAGCAGACCATACCGTACCTCCTCCCTCAGCTGGCTGAGATCGTCGCATCAGCAGCAGCATGGCACCCCAGCTCTGTGTTTTGCTCGCGGACGTCCGCTCGACGGACGTTGAGAAGCAAGCTCTCATTGACAAGCTACTGAAGGAGATGGCCGCAACACTCGACCTGCTCAACACTCATGTGCATGTCCGGACAACACAGGCTGCCGAACAAACAGCAGTACTCTCGGCCCTGCAATCGCTGTCCGACCTCATTACCAGCATCGCCAAGCTCGTGAAATGCCTGTAAGTCGTTTTGGTTCAAGAGACAGTGCGTTTGTGCGTGCGTGTGAGCGTGTGTCCTTCCTGCTGCTTCATGACACAATTGGCGACAGCGACCCAGCAACAACATCAACTCAATGAACCTGTCTTGACGCTGGTGGCTTGTGCTCGTTGTGGTCGACCAATAGCTCTCCTCCGCAGGGCACGCCACGGCATGCGACGGACGCTCTGTGGGAGCTGTGCATGGATGCCCTCTCTGCCGCCCGCGATCCCCAAGACCAGCAGGCGACTCCCCTCCAGTGGCCAAAACGCGGAGACGACACTGTCCGGATGTGCCAAGTTCCCAACTCAAGCGCAATCAGCATCGCCATCGTCTTTACTCAAGCCGAGGTGTGTATGTGTGTGTGTTTGTGTTTGTGTTTGTGTTTGTGTTTGTGTTTGTGTTTGTGCTTGTGTGTGTGTGTTTGTGTTTGTGTTTGTGTTTGTGCTTGTGTGTGTGTTTGTGTATGTGTGTGTGTGCTTTTCCGTCCTGTCCTGTCCTGGGCTTTCCCTGTCTGTGCGTTTTGCGCAAATAATCTCGTGGTGCCTTCTCATCAACGCCCCTGCATTGCCACACGCAGGCAAACCAACTGCTGGAAAGCGCGACAGCCGCGCCCGAAGCCGTTCCGGAGCACAAGCAGGTATATGTACACCCACATGAGTTGTTACACCGCTGTCTCTACCACGCCACTTCACCTGTCGTCATGATTTGTTCACCGCACCTCACAGCCGAGGCATCTTCACGCACCTCACTGCGCAGGCGTTTGTGAGGGCGTGCAAAACGGGCAAGTTTGAAGCAGCGCTGCGCATCGTGCAATCGCAACCACTCCAACCTCCTGCTCCAACCTCCAGTGAAACATCCCACAACGACAACGTAAGTGGCCCTGTCGACAGTGTGTGTGTGTGTGTGTGCGCGTGCGTGCGTGTATACGTGCGTGTGTGTGTATTCACACATTGTGTGTGCTTTATCAGTATGTGTGCTTGTGTATGCGCACACTTGTGTGCATTCCCCGCTAACATTGTGGCTGACATGACATAAATGATGGTTATGTGGTGTCTACGCACACAAATGCAGGAACATGGCGGTTTCGACACGTCTGCCGCCAGTACAACAACGTAAGTCTTGAACCAGTCAGTGCTTGAGTCACTGCACCATGCCACGAGCTCATGTAACACCTGATAGCAGTGCAACGACATTCCCCACCATCCATGTCGACCCACAACTAATTCCCACTCACCACCACCGCCATTGCCCACCCCCCTCTCCACCATCTCATGTATCCTCCTGTCATTGTCGCTCATGGCTGTTTTGTTCTTCGCCTGTGCAGGCATGAGGAAGACGTCATCTCCATGGCTTCATCACCGCGTTCAGAGCAAAGCCCCGTCCAGGCCGCCGCGCTGGCCGTAAGCACGGCCTCAAGTGCCAGCGAAGGCCCGCGTCAAGCTGATGCACCCCGTGCTGCGGACGATGATGATGACGATGACGGCGAGGACGACGAGGACGGGGACGATGGTGACGATGGCGGCAACCATACTGGCACTGCACCTCGTGACGCCAGCGGAGCTGCCAGCACCGGCTCACCAACCTTGAAACTGGTGGTGAGTGCACAGCGCACACATTGTTCGAGTAGACAGACAGACAGACGGACAGACAGACAGACAGACAGACGGACAGACAGACAGACACACACACACACACACACACACACACACACACACACACACACACACACACACACACACACACACACACACACACACACACACACACACACACACACACACACACACACCAGACAACCCCACCCACCACCCTTCCTCCACACACACACACAAACGACAACAACGCTCACCCTCACATGTGTGTGCCGGATTTTGGACCCCTGATCAGAGCACCTGGCACAAGGCGCACAAGGCGTGGGCGAGAGCCAAATCCAAGGCTGAACAGCAGCGCCAGGAGGCAAAGCTTGTCTGTGCACTCAATACCCTGAGTGCGGCCAACTTGTCTGCGCTTTCGCCCGCCGAAATGACCAAGTTCTCAAAGGGGTTTGAAATGTTACCTACCTACTTCGATTATGGGTGAGCCTGTGCCGCACACCATACCGCTATGCATGCTGGTTGCTTCTACACGACCTCACAATCAATTGCGTCTGACCTGGTGTCGCCCCACGCCACACCACATTCTGACAAATGCGGTTGCCGGTTCGCTCACGGGTGCATGTGGTCGTTGCTGTGCCATCTCCGTCTGCTGACAGCACCTCTCTCCGCGAATGCACGCTGGAGCTGCTGCTTGCCCTTCTCACGGCAAATGCAGACCTGACGGGGGTGACGAATGTTCTTCAACGCTGTTGCAGCCTCCTGAAGGCAGCCACCGATAACGTGGCGCTGCTATCTGGACGATCGCAAGATCTCGTGTCGCGCATTGTGCTGCACCTGCTGGCACACCCCGTGCAGGGCGATGGCATCAACATCATTCCAAAGCCTGAGCTGCACACGCAGCTCGTGACATCGCTGGTGCTTGTCTGTTTCCACGACGCAAGACTGGTAGATACCAAGTACCACCCAACGGGCCAAGGCTGTGTTGACGACATTGACGCGGAGCAGAAAGCCCTGGTAAGGGCGGAGGGCATTGATGCACGATGTCTGTGCTCGCAGCTGTATTGTGATACGCACACACGCACACACACACACACACACACACACACACACGCACACACAGACGCACACATGGGACAATGCCCTCTCTGTCACACACAGACGCACGCAGGCATATTTTTACACACACACACACACACAGACACACACACAGAGGCATAGACACACTCACACTTACATACACATACACATTCACAACTCACACACACACGACCAACCTTTGCTTCGTCTCACTCATGCCCCTCCCATCTACTTGTGCGCTGGCGTTGTTGTACAGGGCCCAACGAAGAAAGTTCCCGTGTTTGATTTCACGTGGGATGACGGGCGCGTGGACAAGTTGTCCTTCAACACGTGGCCAACGCAGGCAGAGCTGTGGGGCGTGACCGACCCTCACCTGTACCAGCGCTTCGCAGGTTGGATGCTTCACATGTGACTCGACCTGCTTCTGAAGCCCCTTCCCAGCCACCACCCCGCTTTCCAGCCGCAACCAACATCACAACACGTGTCACTTCCCTTCACTCCTGTCGGCTGCTCAAACACCAATTTGTGCTAGGCCCACTTGCCACCACCCGCGAGCTCCTTGTTCACACACACACACGCACACACACACACACACACACACACACACACACACACACACACACACACACACACACACACACACACTCACGCACATTACCTGACCCATCCCACGTGTGGCTTTTTACTTTGCAGGCCCGCAAGCCCTGAGCACAATTGTGGCCACGCTCCACTCGGAGCCCCTCCTACAACAGTGCATTAGACAAGTCCTCCGCATGTGCCTGACGGGCCGAATGACAGACAACGCCATTGCACACCTCATCAAGACGCTTGGCGATCAGTGCGTCATTACCGCGTTCACGCCGGAGCACCTAGCAGCGTTTGCCGCGGTTTTCGACGTGTCCCTCTGGGAAGCCCTTGCTGAGGATGTGCAATATGGCGAGCATGCGCTGACACCACTGCCTCCCCCAATTGTGCTGCCGAGCCTCTGCCGGGCCCTGCGCCGCGTGTTGGAGGACGATATGGTCACCTGGTTCTCAAAGCTCAATGACACCTCGGCACTAGCCACCTTGCTGCAAGCACTGGAGACACACCTCAAGACGGCGAGCGATGTTGTTGCTGCTTGTGCTTCTCAGCACTGCGCGACGGAAGACACGGGCTCGTCATCTCCACTCACCGTGCTGGACGTCAATCCACAGGAAGAACATGCATCTGTTTCTTCCGCTGCCCACGTGGAGCACAGGATGACAATGCGTGCGCGACGTGACAGTATCGACAGTGTGATGAGCTTCTCCGGCGATTGGGAACCCGTGACGGTGCCACCCACACAACTGACGGCTACCGCAGTAACAGCAGGATCATCGCTGACCGCAACAGCAATAACAGCAGGCGCAGAGAACGCACAGCCCGACCCCGAGCTTGAGGGCGAAATGCAGCACCATGTCACCGCCATGTGCAAGCTGCTCTTAAGCCGTGCACGCGTCCTCATCAGCCACTTCCACCACGACCGCACAAATGTCGTTGCGGTGGAGCTTGTCTGTAGCACCATGGCTGAGGTGCTGACGCAGTTTGGGAACGGCCTTGGCTGGCTGCTTGACTCGGATGCGAGCATCCCAGGCTTGCTCTCGCTGCTGGTACTTCTGCTCTCCATCCATCACGAGCCCGCAGAGCGCTTGCTTGTGGCTGTCGCCGCACATGCGCGCCCAAAGCTAGATGCGCTTCAGCACCTTATCGACAGCGGAGAACGCCACCTGCAAAACCGCTTGTCGCTGATCCAATCACTCCTCGTTGCAGCTGTGCGCACGGATCCGGACCAGATGCGCACAGCCACCAATGTGGCGGTGAAGCTTTTGCGTTGCACGACACCAGAGAAGGCGCCAGCATCGTACACCGTGACCTGTGCCAACGCGTACATTGCCGTATTTGGTGACCCTGCTTGCTCCTTTGAGTTCATACGCGCAAGCGCAGACGCCATCCTTGAAGCCATCACCGCCGCCAATGGATTGAGCGCGCCTGTGCTTGCCAAGCACGCCACACTCGTGGTATCCCTGGTGCGGGCGGCAGGCAGTTCCGTTGTGCGCCAGCATTGGCAGCACATCGTCGACACACTCGTGTTTGATATTGACACAATCCGTAACAGCCCGCAAGACCAGGCCTTGTGCTGGCGGCGCATCTGCCGTCACAGCCCAAGCAGCGGGAAGAGAACCGCCATTATCTCAATCCTGCTGGCACATGCCGTTAGCAAGTGGACGCAGCTTGACGAGCAGAAGCGCAAGCGCGGCGACGCCCTACTTGACACCCTGAGGGATGTCGGTCAACGTTACCCGCGCCTGCTGCGGCTGGCAGCCAGGCAGCTCACAGCACCCATCATCGCCGCCCTGGCACAGTCGCACCACCTCTCCCTCGAAGCCTCCCCAGCGTTTGCGTTCCTGCTGCAGCTGCTGAGGCCACACGACGCCTCTTCCCTGATTGCAGATGACGTGGAGGATGAGGACACCAGCCCAAACAGCCAGCAGCATCAGCATGTTTCAAGTCATGACGACGACAGCAACAACGACAGCGACGGTGATGACGCTGCATCAGCCAAACTGCATGATGAAAGCACGTTTAAGCAAACTCTGCGCAGGGCCATATCAACCAACGATCCTCAGGCGTCCACCCCTTCCCAAGCGTCCATCGTCTGGAAGCCTCCCCAGCACGCGGAAGTGGTGATTGGGCCTCGGTCTGACGGCGGAGACTCGGACCATCTGTGTGACACAACGGAATCCAATGAGTGGAGCGTGGTCCCCACAGAGCGATCTGTCAAGTACTTGCAGCGTATCGTGTCCACCCTGCACACCAATGACCACCTGCTCCTGCAAGGCGAGACTGGCGTGGGCAAGACGATGCTGACGCTCTTCGCCGGCCATCTCGCCAACCAGGTCGTGCTGCGCTTCAACGGGTCATCACACAGCAGCGTTGAGGACCTCTTCGGCAGCGTCACCAACGACCCCACCAAGCCCGGCCACTTTGGACTCGCCCCTGGCCCCGCCATCCTCGCCTACGCCTTTGGCTATTGGCTGTACATTGACGAGGCTAACCTGCTCAAGGAGGAGCTGGTGCAGACCCTGGCCTGCCTGACTGAAGACCGTCTCTCGCTCGCCCCCTTTGCCAAAGGCCTCTCCATTCTCGACTGCACCTCTGCTTACACGGGCAAGCCCCTGCCCATCATTGGCGGTGGCGGTGGCGGTGATGATGCTGTCCTCGTGCGAAAACACAAGAACTTCCGTCTCATCTTCGCCCAAAACCCACGCAACAGCAGATACAACCGCGAGAAGCACAGCCTCAGCGTCCTCAGCAACTTTGTGTCTTTGGATGTGACGTGGGGTTCGACACCCAGTGCCCGTAGAGCGGAGTGGGAGATGATCGCTGCCAGTGCACTGCGCGGTGCCCTCTCCAAAGACATGCAAGAGCACAAAGCACCTGACGAGCTTGCTCACCAGCTTGTCGAATTTCACGTGCAAGCGACTGATCCGGGCATGTTGAAGACTCTCCGCGACAAGGAGGGCGAGGGCGAGGTGTATGAGCAGCAGCACTTCATGGACTTGACGGTGCGCGAGCTCAAGCGTTTTGCCAGCGCTTGCCGTGAGTACGTGCGTTGCTGCAAAGGCCTGGCAGTCGAAGGCTTTGACTCGCATTTGAGGGGGTTTGCGCTCATGCTTTCCTCCATCTACGGCGCCCGCTTCCAGTGTGCTGCCTCCCGTGAGGTTGTGTCAAAGCTTGCCTTCCAGCACATGCAGGCTGCCGAATATTCGCCAGGCGATGACGTTTCATCTCGCATCCAAACCCAAGCGCAGGAAGACAGCAGCGAGGAGGCGTCCAGATTCATCTTCATTGACGGCATCCCGCTCCAGCGCAAGGTGGCCGCACCTGAGCATGACATTGTGGACATTGTTCACGACAAGATCATGCAGTGCGCGACACACCCCGACTTCATGCTCAAGTATGGCTGCTACGACTTTGTCAACCACGCATGTGTGGATCGCGTCCGAGCCATGATGCGTGATAAAAGCGTGTCCCTGGGTCATGCCCTCCTGCACGCGTATGTGGCGCCCATCCGCTGTGTCCGTGCTCGGGCGGACCTTCTCGCTGACATTTGCAAGACGCTGGATGCCACGCATGCAGCGGAGGCACGGCGCCTGCGTGACGTCGACCCGTCCACTCTGCCGGAGCCCGACCAGTACATCTGCCCAATTGTGGTGACAGCAGAGCTGGTGACAGCAGTACGCGAGTGCGCAGTGTCGTTCCTTCTGCGCACACCCTTGATGATCTGCGGCCCGAGCGGCGCTAGCAAACAGGTTCTCGTGCGCTTCCTGTCTGCCCTGACCAACATCAGCCTCACCCACCTCCATCTGACAAAGGAGACGGAGGTGCAAGACTTCATTGGCATGGCCATCCCAGAGACAGACCACGCGACAGGGGACATGAACCTGCGGTGGCACGATGGCCACTTGCCTCGCACCATGCGCAATGGCGGCATTCTGGTCCTTGATGACATTCTCTCCCTGCAGTCGTCTGTGCTCGAACGGCTCAACCCGGTCTTGGAGGAGAAGCCCACGCTCGTGCTGTCCGAGAACAACCAAGTCTCACCGATACCTGAGGACGAGATCAGCGACTTTATGCGCTTTGTCGCCATTGTCGAAGCAAGGAACAAGGCCATGACGCCCGCCTTTGGCAACCGCTTTCACATGGTGTACCTCAACTCGCCGCCACAGGAACCATCGACGTGGCTTGTGGCTGCCAGCCGCCTCTTGCTCGGTCACGAAGCGGGTGACGAGGAATGTCCACGTGATGTCTGTGAGCTGACAGCAAAGGCACACCAAGCCTGGTGCAGTTCAGAGGAGCGACCCAGTGTGAGGCGCTTCGTGTTGCTGTTTGATGCTGCGTTTCACCTCACCCGTGGCACCACACCTCACCCACTCAAGAACCACGCCGCAGCCGCGGTGGAAGAGGCATGCGAGCTCGTGCTCGCCCAACACTCGAAAACGGCGGAAGCTCTCAAGCAGCAACTCGCCGATGCCCTTCCACCCAACAGCGTTGACTATGTGGAGGCGTTGCTGACATCACCTCAGCCTGATGGTGGGGTAACCTTTGTCCTGGACAAGGACACAACACCACGGGTGTACGCAAACGCAAACAAGGTGCTGCGCGCCCTCAAGGCACGCGTTCCCGTCGTGTTTGAGGGCAGTCAGGCCGTGGGCAAGACGGCAACCGTGACTGCTCTCGTCCACTGGTTGACGCGCAAGGCGATTTTGCGCAAGACCAACAGCGATTCTACGCAAGCCACGGACTACCTCTCCTACTGGCGCCCCAGCAAGCAAGGCAACTTTGCCTTTGAAGAGGCAGAGTTTGTGCGCACCCTGCGCAGCGGCACATGCTTCCTCAACGACGAGTTCAACCTCGCCAACACGTCCACCCTCCTCTCCGTCTTCATCCCTGTGCTTGACAGCGGCTGCTTGGCGCTTCCAACAGGCGAGTACGTGCACAGAGCACCTGGCTTCTGGCTTGCAGCTTGCCAGAACCCCGTTGGCTTTGCTGGGCGCAAACCTTTGGCTCGCAAGCTGGCTGACCGCGTGTGTGTCGTGCCGTTCGAGAACCTGACACAGGACGAGCTGACGGAGATTGCTGCCAAGCGCACAAGAAACGCCATGAGCACAGACATGCTGCGCAAGTTTGCTCAGCTGCAGGTGCAGATGCGTGAGCACACCGCACTCAAGCAAGACCCGGCAGTCACCGTGCGCGAGGTGTGTCGCTGGACACGCCGCATGCAGGCCACGCCAGACTCAGCGCCTCACGCCGTTGCGAACGGCATTGAGCTGCTGGTGGGGCGGTCCAGCAGGAGGAAGGCGCTTGTAACACTGGTTGCGCGCGTGTTTGACGCCCAGGATGAGACAGATTCGCTCTACCAGATGCTGTGCGGCGCGACGCACACCACAGGCGAATTCTCTCTCACATGCGCTGTGGATGGGCAAGTTGAAATCAGGCATGGCTTCAGCGCCACTGCCAGCGTTGTCATCGAAACACAGCTGAACAAGAGCGCCGTCACACCGTTTCTCGAAGCACCTTGCTTCAAGTCCAAGCAGTTTTGCCTTGACTTTTACCGCCTCTGCAAGTGCTATGCAAACAAGGAGCCTGTGCTGTTGATTGGGCCCACGAGCCGTAAGACCCTGCTCGTGGAGATGCTGGCCAAGGTGACGGGTCGAGCCCTCACCACCTACTGCCTTGGCGCCGACTCCACGGCTGAGGAGCTGGTAGGTCGCGTGTTGCCCACCACCATTGGTGAACAAGTCAAGGCGATTGTTCAAGTTGTAGCGCGCATCAAGACGCTGCGGCCCAGCGTGCCCATGGGGCTGGTGTCGGCGCTGAGAACCGTGGCAGAGCTGCTTGCCTCGGCAGATCTGGACGTCGAGGACGTCACTGACTGGCTGGGCACGGCAAAGCCCTTCTTGGACGACACAAACGACCACATTCAAGCCATGGCAGCTTTGCTTTGTCTAAAGTCGAATCAGAGCACAAGCGTGGATGTTAGCGTGGACGATGAGAGTGCCGTAGTTTCGGGTGCACACGACAGCAGCAGTGCTGGTGACAATGGAGCCGTTGAAGGCGATGATGATGATGATCATGATGATGACGACGACGATGATGAAGAAGACAACGAGGATGCCAACTGGGAAGAGGCACCCGCAGATTTTGACAGCGAGGAAGACGATGACGACAACGAGGATGCCAACTGGGAAGACGCGCCCGCAGATTTTGACAGCGAGGAAGATGAAGACGATGCCAGTGAGCTGGACGCAGTCACCGTTGACAGTGCTTCAGGTGACGCTACACGGGCCAAGGTTGTCGCACCCGCAACTTTAGGGGCTGTTGACGCAAAGAGAAGCCCTCAGGATGGTGATCAAGATGGCCATGACATGGACATTCCATGGCTGAGGGTGAAGATGCTGCTGTACCAGCTGACCCGGGACTTGCTTGAGCACTTTGTTTCCAAGGTGGAGTTGGCCGCTTCTCCTGCAGACCAAGCGGAGCACGAATTGAGCACGTGCTTTGCTCTCCTCAAGGTACACGTGGAGCGACTTGCAAAGGAGGACGTGCAGCGTCCATCTGACTTCCAGCGGCCGCGGTTCCAGTTCACGGACGGTCCAGTCACGGACACCGTGCGCCGTGGTGGCATGTTGCATCTACGTGACTTGCACCGCGCGCCCGCATCAGCCGTAGAGACTTTCAACTCTCTCTTGGAGCTGGAGCCCTCGCTCGAGACAAGCGAGTATGGCAACATCGACTGCCCGCAGTCGTTCTTCTTTGTCGCTTCCGTCACGTCCGACCGCCGGCTCTTTGAGTGCGGCTTGTCACCGGCTCTCATCTCACGCGTCACTGTCATCGATGTGCAGCCGTACTCGGAGATTGAGTTTGTGGATCTGGCGAGTCGAGGTCTGGGGCAGGGCATTGTGGACCAGATGAGCTTCTTGCCGCAGTTTCTCCGAGACGTGTTCAACGCCTACGGGTGTTTTAATACGCGGCTGATGCAGCAAGTGGTTGACTTCATCCACAGGCACGCGTCGCGATTCAAGACACTGGAGGCCACTGTCCTTCACGCTGTTGCTGGCTTGGTTGCACCCTGGCTTGGCAAGGATGACGTGCAGAGCCTCAACAAAGTTGTCCAATCCCAGTTTGGGTACACTCTTGAGGAGGTGGAGGAGCAGCCCATTGTTGTCATCGGCGATGATGACGCTGCGCCCGAGCAAGTGTTTGAGATCCAGCCAGGCAAACACATCTTAGAGGATGTGGATTTGAAAGCAAGCGCTGGAGGGCTGCAGGCGACCCTTGGGCCGTTCACGCTGCCCGCAAACCCAAGCGCTGGCAGCATGGCAGCGCGGGCGTCGTTGCAGCTCCATCCCGCGCCCCAAACGAACTACACGTTGCTGTCCATCGTTCGCGTGTTCAGTGCTGGCCAGAGCCCGCTGCTGCTTGGGCCGCCGGCGAGTGGAAAGGTGTCCTGCGCCAGGGAGCTTGCGCGGGCCCTGGGGCACGATAACGTGACGTTGATCACATTTTCACGATCGTCAACGAGCGAGGACGTGATTGGGCGATATCACCAAGATCTCAATGGCTCTTTCCAATGGCAGGATGGCCCTTTCGTGCGTGCTCTGAGGGCCGGGCAGTTCATTGTCCTCAAGGATGTGCATCTCATCAACAACGAGCTGGCCGTTGACATTGCGCGACACCTCTCGCGTGGTCGTCAGGATCCGCACGGCAATGCTGAAGGAAACAACACTCCTCTTCGGTCTCAAGCAGCAGCGTCGGCGAAGCTCCCACCTCTGGTGTGTGCAACCGCACCCGCACTGGAGAAGGTGCCGGACCATTTGCAGATTGCGTTTGTTCCTCTGACTGTGGAGCCCATTCTTCCGGACGGTGCTGGCCCCAAAACAGTCTCGCCGCTGGTGCAGCATATCCTGCGGAACGTGGGTGTTGCTGGTTCCAGTCCTCAAGGGGAGACGGTGTTTGACACCGTTGCGAAAACACTGTGCAAGCTCATGCAGCTTCGAAATGATGATACCACGGACATGGTCGATGCATTCCCGCTGTGGTCCTTGCGGGAGATTGAAAAAGTTGCTGCTGTGTTCCAGCCTTTCTTCGAGACGCTCAAGTGTGCGCAGTCTGTGCGGGGCGAAGGTTCATTCAGCAGCACCTCCTCTGAAGGCAATGATGATGGGTCCACAACCAGAGTTCAGGGTGACGATGCCAATGGCGGCGACCGCGGCAACGACAACGACGGCGATGAAGGCGATGGTGATGACGACGACGACAATACCAATGATGCCAGTGTGTCTGCCAGCCACACCACCCATGGTTCCAGCACAACTGTAGGGCACCAGGTTGACGAAGCCCGTGCCAACGTTGACTTCTTGGCGCGGCGTGTGATGTTCCAGACCATCAACCTCGTATTCTTGGCCGGGTTGGCGCCAAAGGCGAAGGAGCTGGCAAGCAGTGTGGTCCTGGACGCGTTCCGAGATGTTGCAAGCACGGCCGAAGAGGAGCAAGTGCTTGTGGACACGACCTTGAGCCACTGTCTTCGCATTGGATCTGTCTTCTTCGCCCGCAGGCAAACGGTGGCCGAGCTGCCCAGGAATGACGCACGGCAGGCCATTTCTTCCGAATTTGTGCTCACGCCTCGCCATGCGCTCCTGCTCCAAGACATGGCACTGGTGTTGCAGGCGCACCGCAGCCTCATTGTTTGTGGCCCGACTGCGTGCGGCAAGACACAGCTCCTGCGCTGGTTTGCCAAGGCTGTCAACGCGCCCATGGTGGAGCTTCACATGAAGCGGGCCGTGGAACTTGGCGATGTCATGGGCCAACTTCGGGCAGAAATGGGGCTGCTGCGCTTGCAGCGGCTCACGCAGGCTGTGCTCTTTTCCCTGTGCGGCGTTGTTGTCAGCCTTGCCAGCATTGCCGTGAGCGACTGGGAGGAGGACCGCGCGAAGATGCATGCCAAGTTTCTCATCTTCAGCGTCGCCTCACTGGCCCGCAGCATGCACAAGTTCCTCACACAGCTCAACGAGTGCGTGAGCCCGGAACAGAAACTGGCGGTGAGCGACTCGCTGCAGGCCTCCGTAGCGGAAGCAAAACAGAACCTTGGCTCCGTCCAGCAGCAGTTGAGCCAGGCACGTGATCGCTCCATTCGCTCAGCGTCCCTGGATACCAGTGCTCTCCAAGTGGCTGCCTCCGACTTTCTGACGTGCGTGGACCCGCTGCTCGTACGGCTGGATGACTTGTGCTTTGACGCTGCTGAGGGGCCTCTACTGCAAGCTGCACGGAACGGATGGTGGCTGGTGCTGAACGACGTCAATTTCTGCCCGCACGACTTCCTGCTCCAGCTGCAGGAGTTTATGGAGAACGACATCTCGCTGGCCGGGCTGACTGGGCGCAGCGCTGCTGACTCACCCACGGTCTCGCCTCACTTTCGAATCATTCTTGCGTACGACCCTCACCGACCAGGCGTGCTGCCGTTGCCGCCGTCGGTGAAGCAGCGCTGTGTAGAGCTGATGATGCCAGCCATGGATTCGCCGGAGAACAAAGACACGTTCCACTTCATCCTCACCGAGTGGATGGAGCAGGTTGGCTGCAAGTGTCCAGTGCACGCCGCTCGCGTGTTTGCTGCAGCTCATTTCGCCGCCCGTGACGCCCTGCCCCCAGCGGAAGCAGACGGCCCGTTTGCGGTCACCTTTCGAACGGCCGTGCGCGCGAAACGCGTGCTGCAGCGCATCATGCAAGGCACAGACGCCGCTGCCAGCGCTACATCCTTGGCGTTTGTCCTCCGGCAAACGTATGCCAATCCCAACTTTGGCAGCGAGAGTGTCACAGACGCCACCCTCCAAGCATGGAACGCCGCTAAACCCAACACAGACTCTCCTCAATTTAAGCTGTCTGCTGATCAGGTGCTTCAGGATATGCGAACGCGCATGCGCGCGATTGTCCGACACGTCGCTGCGGTCATCCTCAGGCAAGACGGGAACATTGCAGAAAATGTGAAGGACATTTGCATCTGGGCGCTGGGCAAGGCATGCTTCCACGCTGGTGTTGGCGCAGAGGCCTTGCCTGAGGAATCCATGCCAACCTCCGCCGAGTTGTTCATGGGAACGTTTTCTGGCTCTGACTTGAGTGCTGTGCAGCACGTCCTTGAGACCACGGCGCAGGAGCTGTCGCAAGCGCAAGTCACAGCCGCTCTGCGCTCATTACAGCGCTCGCTGACACGCATCCCGCAAGCCGCGTCACTGGAGTCCTCGGTGAAATGGATGAAGCACCTCGCGGCATGGAAGCACGTGGTTGAATGTGTCGAGATTGCCTGCCGTCCACTTCAGCAGGGTGGCCAGCTGAACGACGTTGCAAGCGCATGCTGCCGCCTTCGTGGGGGCTTGCGCACGTACTCGGCGGCGTTTTCCGAGATGTTTGGCGAGCGGGCCGCTGGCAAGGACCTCCTGTCCAGGTTCAACCACCTGCTGCACGTCGCAGAGGATGCCATGACGAGCGTCCCCGTCGACGCTCAGAGCCGCCTTCGCTTCTTCATTTCGCAGGTTGAGGCCGTCATTCGCGCCTCGTTTGTGCCCCTGCGAATGCAAGACCACGTGCTGTTCCGCATGCTCGCGCAGGCCCCCGCACTCAAAGGGCTCATGGGCCAGCTGATGTCGTTTTTGCCAAAGGCTGCCGTCCAGCTCACGACTGCCTGCGTGTGTACACGCAATGAGCTGCCGTTCTCCAGTCTGGAATGCGAGCAGGACGCTGACGGAGTGATGGAGCTGGTGAACAACGCCCAGCTGAACGGCTTGCGCGAAACTGCCACGCACGCCGCAACGAGGCAGCCCTTGTTGCACGATGACTTTGCAAAGAAGGCAAGCAAGCTTCTGAAGGAAAGCAGGGAACTTCAGGACGTACATGACGATGAAGTGCATGCCAGCAACGAGTTGCAAACAAGCCTTCACAACACACTCCCGGAAGATGCACCCGAGCACGTCAAGGACTTTTTCCGTCTTCACGAGAACTCAAGCCCCGACAATGAGCCACCATCAGAGTGTGCGCAGACCTATCCCGACCTGTGCAGGCAGCGATCGCGCGTGTTGACGCTCAGAAGCAAGCTTACGTCGTTGCAGGACCGTGTGAAGGAAGCATACGGGTACGTAAACAACACCGTCACAGTCTATGGCAGTCAGTTAAAGTGGCTGATCCCCGAGGCTCCGCTGACTGACGCTCAGGATGCAGTTTTGAGGGGTGCAGCTCGCCACTATGCCCCAAATGCGCGAGTACAAGACGCATGGCACGTGTTCAAACACGCCACTGTGCAATCGCCACAACACGCGCTTGTTGTTTTGCTGAAGGATGATGACAAGTGGAAGTCTGGTCTGCGACAGCAGAACGCCCACCTCAAGAACAAGCTTTCTTCCATGGGCTCAGCGCCACTGGTGGTTGTTGTCGTTGCTGCCGCAGACTTGTCTGAGATGACAGTCTCAGTGGAAGAGCCGAAGACAACTGTCGTTCATCTCGAAGACCGCGACATCACCGTGGAGATATACAGAGTGCGCCGCAGCGACCAGGGCGACGTGAATACCCACCACAACCTGGAGCACCTTCTCGTCACAGTTCTTGGTTCAGACGATGACGGGTCGACGTATGACTTCTGCCAACACGTCCAGGCTTTCAAGCAGCGCCGGCAGGCTTTGACTGGCTCGCCCTCCTTGTCCACTGCGCTGGGCTGTGAACTCTTTGACCACTGTACCTGGCAGAGAGCTGTCATCAGCAAAGCTCACGCTGTGGCCCATGTTCTGTCACTGATGGGGCGAACACCAGACCGGGAGGAATGGATGAACAGATTGGACTTGTTTCTGGTGTCCCTCGAGCGTTTGAAGGCGGAGTTGAAGGATATGCCTGACACAACAGCACAAGTGAATACGGCAGTGGCCAGCATGTGGGCTTCAGAGCACGTCGACAACCGCGAGAGAATTGGCCTCCACTCCACGCTCCAACTCCGCGCCCACAACCCGGTTGCCTCCCTCATCGTATCCCTTGTACCGTGCAAGCTTGCGGAGAAGCTTCGCACCGCCTTTGCTCTGACGAGGGTGCGAGAGCTGTTTCTCACATTCACAAGAGCAAGCGAGTCGCGCATCCACCCAACTGTCCTTAGCTTGCTCGCCATTTGGAACCGGGACTCTCCCAGCAAAGAGGAGGTGTGTCGACAGCTTTCCCTTGTCAGGTCTGCTGCCATGTCACATGTGCCTCAATTGAGCCACGGCATCAACAGCCTGCTTGATTTGCTTGAGCAGCCGATTGGAAGCCAGAGCACGCGCCAAGAGCTGCAAGACGTGCTCCACGAACTGATTTCCATTCAGGAGCAGTTACCAGTGCCACTTGACGAGCTTGACACTGATATTGCTCAACTCCAAGAAGTCATCAATGACCTTGCCGAAGAGCGCGCAGCCGCTGCTCTGGAAGTGTGGAGGAAGAAGCCCAAAGATTGGCATCGTAAGCTCTCTCACCGCGATGACAAGAAGCGAAGAGATGTGGAGGATCTGCTGCATTTGCCTCCACTGCGTCACACGTCCCAGCACGGCCTGGTGAAGCAGCTGAACGACATTCACAGCAACGTGAACATCTACCTGCGCGCAGCACGAGAGTGCTCAGAGCTGAGGACCAAATTGGCACGCACCGTTTCTGGCTTTAGCGCCAACAACATGATTGGCATTGTGGACGGCATTTCTGCGCGTTGTCACGATGGCTTGCATGCACTGCAGTCTCTCCAAAACAGTTACGACCTCCTCCTGCATTGTCGCGACGTACCGCTTCAGGAACTGCCACACGTGCTCAAGGCCATGCAACGCATCGCTCATGAGACTTACGACATGCAGGTACCAGATGCCAGCTGGTTTGTGCTCTCCAAGCAGGAGTTGCTCCTTGGCATTGTACCTGGTGCTTGGTCGTTGTTTGCCACCGAACACACCCAAGGCAGCCACGATGAGAGCATCGATGCGCCGGAGCAGCGTGCGCATTTGGAGAAGTACGGACAGGACAAATACTTTTCTGCAGCACAGCATTTGCTCAACATCACGCCAACCACAACCATGGAGGAGGTCGTGTCCCAAGCCAGGGAAGCGATCAAAGCCTTGTTCTTGCAGACACAAGAAGAGCTGAAGCGGGCGGAGGTGGAAAGCGCGACTGGACACGACGACGATCCATTTTCGTTGGTCGTGAAGCACCTCCAAGAATCACACCAGGCCGTCGCTGCGAGCACGGAAAGCTTCCTGCAATTTGAATGGCTGATGCTGCTGAAGGCCAACTCCAAGTCCTACGCGCGAATCGCTGACGTGCAGCGTCGCCTTCGCATCCTCGAAGTCCAGCAACAAGCGCTTCAACACACTCGTTCTGCACCATCCACCGACCATTCTGCAGAACCAACGCCGATCTGCACTATTCGACCAGCAGAATCCATTGTTGACATGATCACGCGCGTGGCAACCGCGCTGGATCTGCGCGACAGCAACAATGCCACAGTGGCTAACGTGTGGTGCAATTACGTTGCCGCGTTGATGCATGCCAGTGCTGTGGGTGATAGCAGCTTTGCATGGATTGATCCCACCGTCACTGACGACGAATGCGTGCGCATGGTTGTCGCCAAGACCCGAAAGCGCCTGCGCACCTTGACAGCACAACTTCAGCGCGGAACATTCTGTGATGATGAGCAGGTTCATCGACGTCACATGATTGAGGCGTACGAAGGCGTCCTCTCCCACTTTGACTCGCAAACAGGGCAGTTCACCTTCAGCCTCAGCCTCCTGCACAGTGCGAGTGCCCTCCATCTCCTGACAGTTGATCCAAAGCTGCTTCAGTTTGCCCTGTCCGTGGAGGCCATGCCCAGCCGCTGGGCTTTTGGCGTTGATGACTCGTTCGTTGGCTGTGTGGTGCAAAGAGTTGAACATGACAGCGACGTTGAAGAAGAACCTGAAGATCAAGTCAACATGGCAGAGGCCAGGCCAAATGGCCAGGATCAGCAGCAAGACAGCGCTCTGGAGGGTAGCGTTGACCTCAGTGGAGAAGCTGGTGCACATAGTGAGGGTGCCACTGAGGGTGATGAGCAGGACGATGAGGACGAGGACACTCTCGCACACGACCGCGGGCATGTCCCTGTTGGAGCGTTTGTCAGCACGCTGCCTCCGCTTGCACGCTCATTGCTGCGAGTTCTTGTCTCCTCACTGACGACAAGCTCTGTTGCTTCTCGTTTCCGCAAGCTTGTGCTCGCCACAGGCCCGCCGTGCCTTTCCCTGATGGATCGTGTTGCATCGTGGCAGACTCGCCTGAGCGACTTGCTGCCCGGAATCGCGGAAGCCTCTCAACGTGCTGCTCTCGAGGCGTTCACACACTGCTTCTCGGAGCGGCTTCGCCTCGACGTTGTGCTCCCGCATTTGATTGACGTTCAGGCATTGCTGCAACCAGCACTCTATGGCGATGAAGCGTACGCAACGTCGACTCGGTTTGCCGAGTCCTTTGACAGGGCAATCCTCATAACCTTGCAGCATCATGTCGCCAGCCTGACAACATTCTCAACCCCGGCTTTGCGGCTGCTGTGCGCGGGATCCGCATTCACCTTGCTTGTGAGTGAGATTCGCCAGGTGTGCGCATCAGTGAAGAGGTTCCTTCAGAGCCAGCAGGTGGACGTGACAGGCGACGGTCCCCAGGCTGATGCGACAGACATCCTGATGCGGCTCGTGTACCTGGGCTTTTTCCGGGTGAAGCCGCCACAGCTGAGCTCAGTGCTTGAAGAAGGGGTGGACACCCTTCAAGCCGACTTTGACGCCGCTTTGAAGCAGCAGCAGGAGAAATGGGCAATGTTTGTGCAAGACATCAGGAGTTTGCAGCTCCGCCTTACGCCGACCGAAAAGGTACGCAGAAAGCTGTTCCGCGCCTTTGAATTAGTGAAGCTGAACATCAAGACTGATTTGCGGCAATGCGGGGCCACGCATGACTTGGACGAGGTTCTGCGCCACCATCGGAATGTCAAAGGCCTCGCGCGTCAGCTTGGTGCTGATGACATGATGGACTCGTTGGCGCAGCACGCCATTGTCCTAATCAAAGTCACTTCTTGGACAGCAACGGGCCACAAACATGAGTTTGAGGAGTGGCAGCTGGTGTCACCCGCTGGAATTGATCTGAACATTGACGGTAGGACGCAACACTTTCAGCCTCATGAGCTGCGCTCAGTGCACGGCTGTCGAGTGAAGGTCGGGCTGCCTCGCTACACAACGACGGCCTCCTCAGGGATCTTTGGTCCTTCAGATCTTGTGGAGCTGAAGGCGATGCAGGAAGAACTCAGCCGACTGACACCCGAACGCCAACTCGCTGTGTGCTCCAGGCAAATTGAAAGCATTTTGAGTGAGGTGGAGGACAGATCGAGTGCGTTCTTCCAGGAGTTTGGTCTGTGCAAAGGACAGCAACTTATTGAAGATCTTGAAGCTCTGAAGCTTCCCGAGACAGTAACGCTTCCACACCGTTCACTCAGCCCAGAACTCTTGGACCGCGTCCAATCAATTTACGGGGACATGAGAGCATCTCTCAAGGCTGTTGTTCGCAACATGCGTGCCACACTGAAGGAACTGTTGATGAAGAAGCTCATCATGGATGCATGCACGCACCTCTCGTCCGTCCATGACTTGATTGACGACGAAACCGAGTTTCCCGCAACCAAAGCTGCCACCAAGGCAACGGCCATCATTGCCAACTACTCAACTTCACATTTGCCTTGCAAGGACGTCGTTGCAGAGGTGCTGAATGGGGTTCAAGAACGAGCAGAAAGTATGAATGGGTTATTGAAGGAGGTACTTGACCTGCGAAGTGAGATGGAGTGCGCCGACTGCGATGCGCGGGAGCTCGTGCTGACGGGGTCTGCGGTTCAGCGCCTGTCTGAGCCCCTCATGGTTTGCCTGAGCACCTTCGATAATGAGGTTCAAGTTGATGACGGCGACAGCAGGGACGGAGGCACAGCCCCAGCAGAAGGCGCAACAAGCGGGGCGCCGGAGGAAAGCACTGCACAGGCGATGAACAACGTGTTAGAGCTGAGATTTGCAACGCAGCATTTCTACGGAGAAGCAGGTCAGCCGTCCACGCGGCAAATGCTGCTGCAGAACACATTCGAGCAGCCCGTGAACTTCTCGTTTGAGGTGGATGGCGAGCACGCTGGCGACTTCACACATGCATTTGGGAGCGGTGGCACAGTCATGGGCAACAAGTCAGAGTCGGTTGCGTGGACGTTCGCGCCTCAGGAGAGCGGGACACGCAATGCAACTTGCCGCCTCAAATGGTCTTTGCTGGACGACACAGAGCGAGGCGAGGTGACCGTACTATTGTGTGGCCATTGCCAGACAATGACAGTTGACGTGACAGTTCAAGCGCACAAGGTGTGTTGCGCGAAGCAAGGAGCGCACACTTTTGATCCGCCAGTGCTCCGACAAAGTGTCACTGTGAAGAGCTGTGTCACCAAGGCGCAGTGGGCTGCTCTCGAACTGGAAGGTGGCCTTGCGTTTGAAGACGGTAGGAAAGCCAAGCGGTTCTTCCTCAACGGCAATGCCAAGGTCAAGCAAGCCCTGCAGTGGCGACCCGCCGCTTTCATGGAGGCTGCTGTGTATCGCACTGCCGTTTGGGCATACCTCCACCCGCAGCACAAGCAACTGTGTGCTGTGATTCCGCTGGAGTTTGAGGTAGCGGCACCCTCCTTGGCGTATGAGCTGCTGTGGGATGGGAAGTCCTTCAAAGCCGGCCACCTGGACGTCTTTGGTCAGCAGTATGGGGATGTTTATGAACTGCGCTTGCGATTGGAGAATGTTGGGACGGCCCCCTTGAAGCTCCAGCGACATCGTGAAGAGAATGCCCGCTGTTATCTCGCTCAAAGAACGCTTCAGCCAGGCGCAAGTGTAGTTGCAAGGGTGCAAGTTGGGACTGACCTGTTGGTGAAGAAAAAGGCGGTCCTTTCTCTGACCACCAACGACCCACACCTGCCCTGCCTGAAGTACGACTTCTTGATCAAAGACGAAACCCCAGACCTGTACCTTGCGCAATCCAAGAACAAGCACCAGTCGCTGTCGTTCGAGTACAAGGCTGACGAGGCTGAGTACTCGTCAGAGTTGAAGTTTTTGGTGAAGAACCAAGGCACGGCCGCTGGGTATGTCACAGGTATCACATGCAGCGCTCAAGGAGTGCAGCTCACACCACTGAGTGGCACTGTTTTCGTTCCACTGGGCAACTACACCGTAAGTGTCCGCGCACAACTCCTGCTTACAAGCGCTGAGTCTCGCACGCTGGACGTGCAACTCCACACAAGCTCCAAAGTGACGCCAGTGTTGAATGCGCAGGTCAAAGTCACATTCTCCTTTGCGCAGTTACAGATATCACGGCCGGTTTGGTTTCTCGGCTTTCTGGAGGAGGCTTTGCACACGGGAATGACGCTCACGAACATCGGATCGAGAGACTTGGAGTTTGAAGTGTCTCTGGACAAAGACTTGCCCCTCAACTCAAACTTGAAGAAGGTGCCAGGTGAACCGCAACTTCTGGATGGCCCCACACGGAATCAGACCCTCTGCATCGGCTCTCCTGGGGCACATGGGGTGCTTGATCGAGTTGAAGTGTTCCCAAAGAAGCAGCTCAAAAAGATTGCACCTGGTGAGATAGTAAAGTTGTCCCTGGCGCTGAAGATGAAGGATGAGAACTGGAACCAGCACGACACCTTCGCACAGGCTGTTGTACTGCGCTTGAAAACCAATGAGCCCAAACATCTCCCAACGCGGCGCATTGCACTCATTGTGAGCCCAAGGCCAAACGTTGCGCGGCCCCTGCCGTTTCCCATCCAGCCCGCAACCGGCCGGAGTGTGCCGTACGTGAACCAGGGGTTTGCGGCGGCCTTTGCTGGTGTTCCTCAGCATCAGGCACCTCGAACTGTGGACGAGTTCTTGGGAACAACAGCCATGCCAACCACTGCAGAAGAACTGCGGCCGCTGCTGACTGCTGATGCGCACGGCGTTCTGAAGTACGAGCTGTTGCTGAACCGTACACCCACGCCAAGTTACTTCATCACGTCGGTTGTGGAAGGGTTCAGACTTGGCCTCTGTGCTGCTGGGATGCCCGCCCGAATTGCAGCTGCGTTCAAGGATGTGACTAGCCGCAATTTGACGGATCAGGCCGTTTCACGCTTCTCTGAGGTGCTGCTGCAGCTCATTGAGAGAGGTGCAACAGCCAAGACGGTCACCAACAAAGATGCAAAGCTGAAACTCGAGCGGGCGCTTCGATCCTGCTGCAGGACATCAGTTTGCGCTGATCTCTCCATTCAAAGCTTCTTGGACTTGGTCCATGGTTTGAGCGACTTGTTCGACATGGTTGCCCTGTATCCAAGAACGTCCGTGTCCTCGGTGCAGGAGCTGAGCATGTTCTTCAGTCACGTGATGGCTGCGCTCGCAAAGCAAGGCAGCGAGGGCGACAGCAGTGACAGGCATGCTCTGGATCTTCTTGTGCGGATTGCGGCGTTGCCAGAAGTAAAAGAGGACGAACTTGCCCATGTGCTTGCACAGTGGCGGGTTGAGAGCAACACACTCGCCAAACACCTCAAACATGTGCGAGAAGGGGTGAGCGTGCTCGCTGGCGAGCACATCAATCGCATGACGCCGTGGCAGGCTGTGTTGACGGTGGTTGATGCTGCTGCTGCCGACGGAGAACTTGACAGTGACTTCAAGGAGACGTTTGCTCGTTGGGCTACGGAACCAACAGCGGGCGCGCCGACCTTCTTGTTGTGGGATGTGCCGCAGATACAAGCACGCAAGCACATCTTCTTCCAAAGAAACGCGTCGGAGTTTCTTGAACAGCACTTGCCGCACGGCTGCGGGGATCTGGAAGCCACCAGCATCGTGCCTCTTGCACAGTTTCTGTGGCAATGCAAGTACCGTGTGAGTGCTCGAAGCAACAAGCAGCGTCGCTTCCTCGAGTTTGTCATCAACAAGAGCCAGCACGTGTTTGATCACTTGACGAGGTGCCTGAAGTCCCTGGACGTGGAGGCCGATGGTGAGGAGGAGGAGGAAGAGGTGTTTTCTCCCAAGGCCCATGCGCCCAGCGACAAACCGCTCGAAGACTACATCGACCAGGTGATTCACTCCGTGCAGCAGGCTTTGCATGATGGCACCCATCGCTCCAAGAGCAGCAAGCTCGTCCCCCTGCGAACTGTGCTACCCGCAGCCCTTGAGCATCGCACGAACTGGATGCGGATGTTGGCCATCTTCGCTCTGACGGATGCGCTGCGCTCATCCAAGAAGAGGAAGAAGGGAGTATTGCCTGTTGCTTCAACGTTCCTGCAAGAGCTCACGAGCGCCATGCGACAACATCCCTTGTTATGTGTGAGGTATGTTGTGACGCTTAATTGCGAGGGCAAATCCCTACGCCCTGATCACCTGACTCACCTCAGAACGACGCTGGACACCATCACGCGCGGTGGCGGCACCGACATGGGAGTCGACGTTCATGGAATCATCGCTTTGGTGAGCATTGGCTACGTGGCTGGAGGTCAGGCGCAATCCAAGAAGAAGAAGCGGCAGTTTTGGAAGAAGTTGCGAAGGCCACGACCACGACGGGCAGTCTTTGGGAGAACACTCAAAGCTGACGTGTCACCGTACATGTCTTTCCTTCAAGCCTTCATTCCCAAGCGCTTGAGCACACGGCTGGCACACGTGCCGCTTGGTGAGCTGATTGTCCGCAGTCAAGACGACGGCCTCATTCCCACGCTGCTGACAACCATACAGAAGGACAACTTCGTGGCAGCATTTGAAATGCTGCCGCTTGAAAGCACGCGTGTTCACCGCCTTTGCTTTGCTGCCTTGCAAGCCACGCAAACCACCACACTGGACCATGAACACCTACTGCGATCCGACAAGTCTCCTGATACCCATCATGCAAGGCGACATTGCATCAAGGACATTCTGGCACTCATTCGAGCGCGTGTGGCCTGGCGCAATGGGAAGCCCGAAGATGTGGTGCAAAGGCTGCACTTGCTCGCACAAATTCTCCACGCAATCATTCAGCGAGTGCCAGCGCGGACGTCGAGCGATGGCGAGGGTGATGACGACGACAACGTGATCGACGTCCATGTCCCACGCTACCTTCAGTGTCCGATCACACTCGACGTCTACGACGACCCTGTGGTGGTGAAAGGACACACGTTCTCTCGCGTGCCCGTCACACAGTGGATTGTGGAGTGCGGCACACATCCGCTTACAAAGGAGCAAGTCTCCATGAAAGATATTGAGCCGAACTACTCAATTCGAGACGCAATTGAAGAATTCAATCGCAACCGGCAACACCTCAAAGGGTGGGAGGATTCAGACTTGAGACAGCAGTGGACCTCTGCCATATGTGAGAAGCTGACAGACGCCAGCAAGTGCACTCACGTGCCAGAGCCCACTGACAACATCTTTAATGATGGCACAAAAGTTTCCACTTCAGAACACATGGTTGGCGACCAGTCTGTTGTGGTTGTTTCAACCTCCACGTCTGCCAGTTCAAACACCAACGGTGAAGATGACGCTGGCAACTCAGTGGCTGATGCAACTGAGTCAGAGTCGCAGACGACGCCTTCAAGTGAGATGCGTTCCCCTCAAGCGCAAGTGGTGAAGAGATGGATGTGGGCGGGGGGTCATGACGGGCTCACGTGCTTTTCAAGCCCAGCTGAACCTGAACACGTCCACGTGCAGCCGCCACGCCTGCGCCATCGTAGCAGCTCACACGCCTCGCTCTCGTTCAGCACGTCGAGCCTTGATTCTGCCGTGAGAGGCTTACACGAAGTCGAACAAGAGTTATGGTGCACGATGCTGCTGACAAGCGTGCTTCAAATGCGCACGCGACTGAAGGCAGCGGTTTCAGAGTTTGTGTCGGTGATGCACGATGTTCCTGAAATGGCCCCAGAAGCCATATGCGGGGACGTCCTCAAAGCGGGGCTGAGACTGCTTGTGTTGGCTCGCGGCTTGTTGCTCGTGCTGGAAAAGGTTCGACCTGACGCGCTGCTACTGATTGAGGCGGAGTGCAACTCAGCCATCGAGACTGTCTCAAACGTTCTCTTCTTCAGCGTGACAGCCGCGCTGCCCGAGAGCACTGTCGTCGCCATTCAGGAATGGCAGCGGCTGCTGAGCCTCAATGGCATGCACAGCAAGAAGCAAGCTACCCTCTTCCCCTGGCTGGAGCACACAGATGCCTCCCAGGATGACGCCTTGAGCTTGCACAGCCACCATGGCACGGTTTCAGCGACAGTGTCACCAACAAGGCGGAAGTTTGATCTGATTGATGCTGATGCGATCAGCACCCCGCTTGCACCCGATGCCGCAGCTGACACCAACGAAGCGAGTGCCACCGATACGAGTCAGCATGATAACGTGGATGAACTCACCAGCTCAGATGTGCTGTTTGCTGCAAATGCGGACACGAGCCAACCCTTCCAATCAACGGTTGAGAGTGCTCTTGGCTCGCTTGTGCTTGGGCTCGATCAGTTTGAGTTGGTTGATGGCACACATGACCCTCACCGCCACCATCCCCGCGCCAAGCCACCTGACGCAACCACACCACCGACATCTGGCGGCGGCGGCGGCGATGGCGATGGCAAAGGGCTGAAGCTAAAGGTGGTCACGACTCCACAAGACGCCAGAACTGACACGACGCAGCGAGCTGTGCGCCGGTCGGTGAAGATCAGCAACGCAAACCTCGAGGCTGCCGCGGAATTCCAACGACAGCTGGGACGCGATGTGCAGTTCCGCCCCTCCAAACTGGGCAATGGAAAAACGCATGACCAAGTGCTGGTTGCGGGTGCTGTGGACTTTGACCGGTTCTCGTTCCTCAGTTCCCTGTACGGGCGGCTGTGCCTGGCACAGCCGAAGAGCATACTGTCCCTACAACAGCAAGTGCTTGACCTGGGGATGCGGACGTGTGCGCGAGGATTTCGCATGCAGCTGGAAGTTGTTGTTCTCATGGACAACTCCATTTCGATGCGCGGCGCGTGCGGCAACTACGCGAAGCAAACGCTCGCCGTGCTGCTGGAGGGTCTGCGCAGGCTGGAGCAAGACACGGCGGTGCTGTCGTTTGCCGGCACAAACAAGGAGCGATGGCTCAAGACGTTTGACCAGCCCATGACCTGTGCAAAGGGTGAAGAGATCTTGCTCCGGCTGCGGTTCAACCAGCTTGGGACAAGGACCGCCGATGCGATGCAGTGCGCCCTGGAGCACTTGAGCCAGCGCCGCCAGAACCGTGGGGGCGGCAGCCGAACGCTGTATCCGCAGTTGATGGTGCTGGTGACGGACGGCCTTTCGAGCCAGCTCACGTCGTATGGGTATGGTGACTCGGCCTTCTTGGAGGTGCTGCGCAAGGCCACAGACTCGGCGGTGAAGGTTGTTGCGATTGAGATGGGCACCAGCTCGGGAGAAGACGCCGAGACGGCCCACCTTGAACGGGGCCAGCTGAGACGGTACAAAGCCAACGGCCTTGCGTGGCACGCGCTCACGCCCGCCAACCTGGAAACGATGAGCACGGATGTGCCGAAACTGCTGTGCGACGAAGTCAACGACATCATGAGCAACAACTTGAAGGGAACGCGCACCGGCCGCACTGGTACAAACGGCAGCGCGTTTGATGGCAAGGCCTTCAATGTACCAGGACATGCGCCAGCATCTGCGTTTGATTTGACGCTGGAAGCATTGACCAGCAGCGTTTGGATGGACTCCCACCCGCTGCCAAAGACCTACAACAAGCCGCAAGTGCGGGTTGACGCGCTGGCGCGCCTGCCACTCATGTGTGCATCACCTGTGCTGAAGACTGCGTCTGTGCGGCAGCTGCGAACACAGCACACGACGCATCGGCGCACCGCGACTCCTTGTGAGCACTCCACTCAGTGGTGCACGGGCGTGTTGCGAGCGTATGGCCAGCAGCTGTACATGCTTGACGACGTGCTCAAGCAGCACTTGGTGAAGCGCATCTCGCTGCGCAAGAAGGCCGGCTTCACCAGCGGCAAGAGCGTCAACCCAGCGAAGCTGATGCAGTGCAAGGCGACACAGTTCACCTCCACTGCGTATTGGGAGCGGTACGTGCCCGAGGGCCGGCCAGCCTACCGCTTTGCACTGGCGATTGACATGAGCGCATCCACTGGTGACACGCCAACGTCCTTCTTCAACGCGCAGTCCCTGGTGCTGCTGCTGGAGGCCTTCAAGCGGTTTGGGCTGCACGATACGATCGTGTACGGGTTTGGCGAGAGCGCGTGCACGCTGATGAAGGATCGCACAGAGCACGTGGACGCGACGGCGCTGAGCACCATTGTGCGCACGCTGGCGACTGTTGGGTTTGTGCAGCAGTCGACGAACGTGGCTGCGGCCATCGCCGCTGGCGTGGAGCTGTTGACGGAGGCGAATGACAACGACGCGAGCGTTGAAACGTCGACGCTGTTTGTGTTGACGGACGATGCGCCAGATCCACAGCATGAGGCCGCGCTGCGGTACGCCGCTGCCCTCGGCATTGACGTGGTGCAGATTGTGATTGGCACGGTGCCCACGTCCACGCAGCGCGCGTTCACCCGCTTCATCGAAGTGTCGTCGCCACTTGAGCTGCCAAAGGCGCTTGACATGTACTTTGAGCGCATGCATCTTCCGCAAACGAGGGGCGAGGAGGCAGACGTGGGGAAGCACAACTTTGCGATGTTGCCGGACGAGCGCAAGCAGGTGCTGGAGAAGGTGGACAAGTTGCTGGCTGAGGGGAGCTCCTTCCACACGTACGTGCGTAGCCGCGTTGAAGACGAGACTGTTCAGGCGGAGATGTTGGCGTATGACGAGGCGCCGGTGCTGGAGATTGAGGTGGTGATTGTGATGGACTGCACTGGAACCATGCGGCAGTGGATGCGAGCGGCGAGGGACCACGTGCAGGAAATGGTCCGGTTTGTGCGGGATCAAGCAGAGAAGACGTACACTGGGGAGGCCAAGGTGCGGCTTGGGTTTGTTGCGTACAGGGACTACGACTGCCGTGAAGTCACGCAGCAGTGCGACCTGACAGAGGACATTGACAAGGTGACTGCGTTCATTGCACGGCAAAAGGCCACTGGCGGCAAGGACAAGGCCGAGGAGGTGCTGTCTGGGCTGCGGGCAGCAGCCAGCATGAAATGGACGGTGAACCCATCCGCCATGAAGATGGTTGTGGTGGTTGCAGATGCGCCGCAGCACGGCCCCGAGTTTGTGGATCCACGCGTGTGGGAGCCGAAGTGGGACGCGTACCCTGACGGCCCGCCGCGGGGCCGCCCTGACCACGGCAAATCGCACTGGGACAGGGCTGTTGAGATCACGCAGGCGCTCAAGGCAAACGACGTGCGTGTGGTGTTCACCCAAATCAACCACTTTACGCAGGTGTTTGAAGAAAAGCTGACTGGTTTGATGGCTGACAAGATGCAGGTGATTCACCTTGGTGAAAATCCAGCAGAGTTTGCAAACTCGATTCAAAACGAGATGGTGGTCATGCTGAGCGAACTCTTGTGAGACAAAGTGTGGTCGTGTGTGTGTGTGTGTGTGTGTGCAGGTGTGTGTTGGGTTTGGGCTTGTGTTTTGGGTGTGAGTGCCTTGTGTGTGTATGTGAGTGTGTGCGGGTGTGTCAATGTGTCCGAGTGTGTGCGTGGAGTGTTACTTACGAGACGTTGATGTGGAGCAATTGCGTTGTGTGGCGTTTCTCGTGATTGCGGTGAGGTGAGGAATGTGCGCGTTTTTTTTTTTTTTTGTTTGCCGAGTGCTTGTGTTGGCGACTAGCAGTAACGTGAGGGTATGCACTTGAAGGAGAGGCAGTTCCCTGCGCCTTTTGGCAACTGTTCTTCTGTTTTCTTGTGACTGTGCAATACAAAGAAAGGCTGAACGAGGGACATCATGTTGATGTGGTGAGAATGTGTGAGCGTGTGCATGTGCTTGTGAGTAAGTGAGAATGAGTGTGTGAGTGTGCATGTCCTTGTGAGTAAGTGAGAATGAGAGAGAGAGAGTATGTGTGCGTGTGTGTGCGCGCGTGTTTCGTTACTCACATCCCGTTTATAGTTCATTTCATGTCACAATCACATCATGTGTCACCGCGTATCAAGCGACATTTTAATGGGCGAAAGCTAACGACAACAGCAAACCGCCAAGCGGGCGTTTGAGAGCGCGTCAGGCAAGGCACGTGTAACAAAACCAAACAGGCAAGCAGCAGGCAATAGGCAAGCAAAGCGGGTAAGAAAAGCGCTGGATTCCAAAACCAAAACAGCGGCGCACCTAACGACGTGTGAAGGCCAAATGAAGACAACTAACGCAATGCAACATTCTCAACCCTCACCACCACCACCAAACCAACCACCACCACCACCACCACCAAACCAACCACCACCACCTCCACCACCACCCCAAACAACAACAACGCCACCACCACCACCACCACCACCACCGCTCTCAGATGATTATCACCATGGCTATTCCTTCTGCTGCACGGCTGCCTGCTTGTGGGCGTCGTTGTAGGCCGCCTCTGAGTTCTTGCGCTTGTACTCTGTGCGCAGGAAGAGGGTGATGAGGGTGGCGACGGCGGTGAAGCCGACACAGAGCTGGATGGCGTGCGGGTACTCGTAGTAGGTGTGGATGTCTGGGTCTGGGGTGGGCCCCGGTGGGGGCGGCTGCGGGATGGGGTGCGTGCCGTTGAAGTAGCGCGCCTCCCCCCTGAGCGCGTTTGAGGAGAAGATGATGACGATGCTGGTGGCCTGGGCGAAGATCCAGATGAGGCCCGCGCTGAGGCCCTCGTGCACTGGGAAGGTGCACTCCACGCTCAGCTCAAGCCCAACGGGCAGCGCCGCAAAGGCAAAGAAGCCCGTGACGGCGCAGGCGACAATGAGCCAGGCCAGGTTGTCCGCTTTGTTCATGAACATGAAGAGGACCACGCCTCCTGTTGCGCCCAGATAGCAGACCTTGAAGATGACGAGGAAGGCGCCGGTCTTGTCGAGCAAATACCCGGACAAGCCCGCACCGACCAGCCCAGCCACCACCATCGCCATGCTCATGTACCCTGCGTCATCGCTCGAGTACCCATACGCTGTGCGTTTGGCGGGAGGGAGCGGTAGGTGAGTGAGTGTGTGTGTGAGTTGGGGGGGGGGGTTCGTGAGTTGGGAGAAATGTGGATCGTATATGGGAAGTGTGTAGATCGTGGATGGGCAGTGTGTGGAAGATGAAAAACGCGACGAAACACAGACAATACGACAACGCACACGTCATGCAGGCACACACACACACACACACACACACACACACACACACACACACACACACACACACACACATTCATGTGCATACGTGCACATATGCATGTTCATACAAACCTACGCACATGCAAACAACCGCACACACAAACACACACGTGCAAACAAACGCTCACACACAAACGCTCACTCAAACACACACACCTTCTGTGAATTGACCAAAGAGGGAGGAGAGGGAGGAGACGAGGCCAATGCCGATGCCAAACCCGACGAGGAGCGCCCAATATGCCGGGATGCGAATGAGCTGCTTCAGGCCGTCAACAAACGAGAGGTGCGCCTCCTCCGCAGAGTGCGACGGCGGCGTTGGCGGCCGATCCTTGAACAGCACCGTCACCAGGAGCGAGATGACCAGGCTGAGCGCAGCGTTGATGAGCAGCATCCACTTGATGTCACCGGCTTCGCTCACCAAGAGCCCGCTGAGGAGAGAGCCCACGGCGATGCCGACCGGGTTGGCGACGGAGGCAATCATGTTCGCCTCGGCGCGCTCGTGCTCGCCAAACCACGTGGCGGCCAGCAGCGTTGGCGAGTCGAGGAAGATGGGCTGGCTGCAGGCTGCGATGCCCTGTCCGACGGTGACGAGGGCGAGCTTGGCGTGCGGCGACGGCAGGAAGACGCCCACCCAGCGCACAATGCCGCCGATGCCGTTGAGCCACGACGCCAGGACCAGGCTCTTGCGCAGGCCAAGCGTGTTCAGGCACCAGGTGCCAGCAAAGCCGAATGGGATCGACACGATCATGAAGATGATGGACTGGAAGTCGATCATGGTCGTGTTCGTGTTGAAGTACTCGCGTGCAATGCTGATGATTGGGGCAAACCCGATCCAGATCATTGCATTTGAGATCTGCAGCAGGGACACCAGTGTCTGCGAGCCGTGTATGTTGAGTGGGATTGTGTTTGCGTGCGCAGCCGTGCGTGGGCGTGAAATTGTGTTGGCGTATGCAGGCGTATGCAGGTGTGCAGGTGTGCCAGGGAAGAAGGCGCAAGCCAAGATCGCGAATCAAATCACAGCATAGACAGATTGACAGATTGACAGATTGACAGATTGACAGATTGACGGATTGGCACACACACACACACACACACACACACACACACACACACACACACACACACACACACACACACACACACACACACACACACACACACACACACACACACACACACAAAAAAAAAAAAAAAAAAAAAAACACACACACACACACACGAAACACACACACCAAGACAGCAAACAAACGCAAGCACACACACCAGCATCAGCCATCGTGATTTGTAGAGCTTAAACTTTGAGCTGCCAGACTCGCTTGTCAGCAAAGGCGACTCCATGGCCCTGTCATCTTCGTCCTTGCCCATGATCGCAGCCGCTGTTTGCGTTTGCGAATGTGCTGAGGGGGTGCGCGATGGCGTGTTAATGCTCCGCAGCGTCCACGCCAGTGCGAGTGTTGTTGGAAATCTTTCGCAAATCACCATCAACCAACCACCCAAGACAAGAAGCCAGGCAGCGACGATGGCTTCGCCTTGGCGGACGGGCGCACCACTACAACAGCCACCACCACCACAACAACCACAACAACAACAACAACAGCTGCAGCAGCCAGCACAACACGCACAGCAGCACTTCCAACCGCCACCACCGCACGCGCAAACGGCACAGTTGTTGGGGTCAGGCCCACTGTCGTTCCCCCATGGCACGTCCCCTTACTCCACAAGCCCGCCGCGCCGCGATCGGCTGCCGCAAGGCCACCATCAACACCATCACCCACCCCCACACCCCAACAAACCCCAGCCGCCTCATCTGCAACAACGCTATACGCCAGCACCCACGGGCATGTCGCCTCCAATGGGCCAAGGGGGCGGCGTGTCTCCGCAGCTTCAGTCGCTGTACGCAGGACACCCGACGAGAGCAGCCTCGGCATCTGCGCACGTGTATGGTGGATCGCCGTCATCGCCATCCCTGAACCAAATGGGGTTGTCCCCGGGAGCATGGACAAGCGCATACTCTCCGCCCACATCGCACATGCACAGCCGGGGTCGCTCGGGTGCGGCAAGTCACATTCCGTCCTCGCACGTCGGTGGCGTGTACGCGCCCGTGCAGCCCATTCCCAATGCCACGCTGCCACCACCGCCACCACCGGCGACGACAGCGGCAGCAGCAACAACACAGGCACAGGCACAGGCGCAGGCACAGCAGAAGAAAGCAGCGGTTCAGCCAAAGTCCAAGGCGGTTGCCTCGTCCACAAAGGCTGCAGCAAAGAAAGCGCCACCGAAGCCACGCGGGAGACCCAAGGGCTCGGGTCGCAAGAAGGCGCCAGCTTCCAAGTCCAGCACCACCACAGCAGCTGCAACGGGCCGTGGACGAGGAAGGGGCAGGAAAGCAACAGCAACCGCATCTGCAAAGGGCGGGTCTGCCACCGCCAAGCAAACGGCAGCACGAAAGCGGGCCGCGTCAACCAAAACCACGCCGGCATCGACACCAGCGCATGCGGCATCGCCCGGCGACATGCTACAGCACCGCGGGGTTCGCGCCACCACGAGCATCTCGGGCGATTCCGTGTTCTCGCCGCCGCTGACACCCCAAACCCCTGCCACGAGCATGAGCACAGGGCGCCACACGCCGACCAACAGCGCTGGCGGTGCCGGCAGCGATCACCCGCCGTCCAAGCGCGCAAAGGGCGCGTCGTCGCTGTCTGCGTCGTGCGTGTATGCGTCCAGCCCCGTGTTTGGCGTCACGTCACCAGAGTCGTATGCATCCACCCCGCACGTGGCATCGCCGCCCACCACGACCACAACGGCCGGCAGCACCGGCAACGCAGCAAGTCGGCGGTCCACGAGCACCGCTGGTGGCTCAAAGGCGGGCGGCGCATCAGCATCATCGGCCTCATCAGCAGTGGCGGCAGTGGCTGACCATTACCTGTACCAGGAGGAGGTGGCCCAACTCATGTTTCAGCACGGCGAAGTGGAGCGGTTGTCCGACGACGCACGCGCGCTCATCGAAGATATTGCACGCCAGCACGTTATTCTCCTGGTGCGTGGTGTCAGCGTATGATATGTGTGTATGATGTGTGTGTCGGGGCTGGGGGAGTGTTGCTGGGGTGAGTTGGGCTGACTATGTTGCTGTCAGTGGGTGCTTGACCCATGGCAGCACTCCTGTGCACATGTCGTACTCGCATTGCATCTGCATTGACGCGCATTCACCCATTTATACACAACACACACACGCACAACATCCACACACACATACACACACATACACACACATACGCACACACACGTCCACACACACACACACGTACACACACACACACACACGTACACACACACACACACAGGCGCAGGAGTGCAACGCTGCTGCAGAGGTGCGCGGTGCAGATCAACTCGATTGGTCCGACATTGCGTTTGCATTACGCAAGGACGGCGTGCGCCTGGCGCGCCTGACGCAATTTGTGCGTTTGAGGGGTATGAGCTCCAAAGACGTGCGCGCGTCCAAGCCTGCGGTGCAGCGGGCGTGGCAGTTCGGCACCTGGGATCTCCTCAACTCCCTCAATGACATGACCGCGGAAAAGCCTCTGCACTACTCCAAGGTTCCATTCACCGTGTACATTCAGTCGTGCATGCGTGTGTGTGTGTGTGTGCACGTTTGTGTGTAGGTGCATGTATGTGTGTGTGTGTGTGTCTATGTGTGAGCTTCTGTGTGTGTGTGTGTGTGTTTTCTCATTGCTACTCGAGGGACTACTCGGTTTGCTTATCTCTGCACCCCCGCACGATGGTTCACAGGGTGTTGCTGACGACATTCGCGCGTCGTCCACCTCCCAGTGCCACCTTGCCCTGGAGATGTCCGACAAAGCGCACAAGCTCTCACGCCGCGCAAGCTTCACATGTACGTTGGCGGGTGGTGGCAGTGGTGCTACTGTTGTTGTTGTTGTTGTTGTTGTTGTTGTTGTTGTTGTTGTTGTTGTTGTTGTTGTTGTTGTTGTTGTTGTTGTTGTTGTTGTTGTTGTTGTTGGTGGTGGTGGTGGTGGTGGTGGTGCTGCTGCTGCTGCTGTTATTGTCGTTGTTCCTGTGACTGTTGTTGCTGCTCATGGTGCTGTGCTGTGTTGCCACTTCTTCTCTTGGTCAAACACACAGACAAGAAGGCGAAAAAGTTTCGGAAATGGATTCAGTTCCATCACTTTGTGCAGCGCCGCCCAAGCGACGACATGATCGAGGTGTGTGTGTGTGTCTGTCTGTTCTTTTGTGTATGTCTGTGTGTCTGTGTGTGTCTGTCTGTTCTTTTGTGTATATCTGTGTGTGTGTGTGTGTCTGTTCTTTTGTGCGTGTCCGTTTAGCCAACTTTGCGCCTTGTCGTGTTTCTTGTCAGTCACTCCTTTCATTCAATCGCTGATCCACACCTCACTGCGTGTATCCGTTTTCGACTGCAGCTGTTTGGTTTCATAGCGTCCGAAACAGTGGCGGAGCTCGCCCAGACCGTTCGCCGCATGATCGTACGTATTCGTGTGTGTGTGTGTGTGTGTGTGTGTGTGTGTGTGTGTGTGTGTGCGTCACTGTACACCCGTGTGCTTGTTTGGTTGATCTTGATGTCGTTTTTCGCACCTTCCTTGCCATATGTGCGTTCGTCCCTCATCTCACCTTTGGCTCCGTTGTCTTGTCGATCACTCCTTTCCCACCACAGCGCGACTCTGCGAAGCGGCGCAAGAGTGAGTGCAGCGACAACATACGACATGGCTTCCATCTCCCTGTCGTGCACATCAACCGCTTGAAATACAGGCCATCTGACACGCACACACGCCATCTCACACACACCATCTCTCACACAATTGTGCGTTTCACGTGGTGTGCCTGCAGGCAAGCGGATGGTGGTGTCTGCTGAAATTGTATCGGAGGCGTTTCGAAGGTTGCAGCGCGACGCTTCCATCGGCTCCCTTCTCACAAGGGTGAGCGTGTTCTTGTGTCTGAGAGAAAGGGAGAGAAAGCGTGAGAGAGTGTGTGAGTGAGTGAGTGAGTGAGTGTGTGTGTGTGTGTGTGTGTGTGAGTAAGAGAGGCGGAGAGCCGCAGCACGTATGTTGCAGTTGTGCTTGCTTGCTTGCTTGCCTTCGCTTGCTCGTCACTTTGTGCGACCTCATCTCACTTGCACACTCAAACACATGCTCTTTCAATAGCCGCATCAATTTAGCAGACCGCACATGCTCTTCACGTCGTAGCTGTAATAAACGAACCAACAGCGTCATGTGTAACCTTGAACTAAACAACAGCCTCTGCTAGCACCAGCGCAAACGAGTACCCACACACACACACACACACACACACACACACACACACACACACACACACACACACACACACACACAGACACACACACACA